ATATAAATTTCAGGAGTGTTTGCTCCATTTCTTTGAAGAATGTCATAGGTATCCTAATAGGGATCGCATTGAATTTGTACAGTGCTTTGGGTAGTATTGCCATTTTGACAACATTAATTCTCCCGATCCATGAAAAGGGGATATTTTTCCATTTCCTCACGTCCTCTTTTATTTCAAGAAGCAGCGTTTTGTAGTTTTCTTTGTACAAGTCCTTTACTTCCTTAGTTAAGTAAAATTCTTCTTAACCCACCCCCAGTTCCTCTGACGGCTGTTACCTTCACCCCAGACATCGGGAGATGCTGGAATTGAATCTGGCGTCTGCCACCCTCCTCCACTCAGAACAGAAGACTTGGGACTTCTCATGTGTCTAGGAACCCCAAAACTCTCAGGATGGAAGATGGCACCCTCAGCAATTTTGGGTGCTATGCTGTGGGGACGTCGGACATGGAGACCTTTAGAACCGAGTTGGTGGGCGACGTAGTAATGCGGGAAGTCAAGACTCTCTGACTTCCCCTGTTTGCTCCCTGTTCGCTCTTGGGAAGCTGGCTCTGGAGCACTGTGCACTGGGTGTCCTTCCATGTAGAGAATAAGTGGGGCGAGCCCCAGGCAGCACGGACACCCGGACACAGTTCATTGTCAGACCCGAGTCCCACCAGGGCACTGCAGGGACAGAAGATGCTGGACTCTCTCATCCCCTCCAGCCCTTGGCGGGTGTAAGCGAGTCGAATGAACCAGAGTCGGCCTCCTCTTGGCACATGGATTTCTGGAGAATGAAGGTAGCACCATTGGGGTCCGGGTCAACCCCCAACCCCGACTCCACCCCACCCAGTCCACACCTCCTGATCTGGCCCTATGACTGGGGGAGGGGGTCGGAGGCAGGGGTGGGGAAGTGACAGGAGTTGGGCTGAGGGGGGCGCACAGAGCTCCGCCAGGGGGGCATTTCCTTCTGAAATCAGACTTCGGTTCCTACACTCGTGGACTCCACACACGCCAGCTCCCCCAAATGTGAAGAGAAGCCAATGAGCAGTCTCTGTCGGACAGGAGGGAATCCAGTGGTCAACAAGGAGGTCCAGAAGCAGCAGAGCTTTGGGGGGACAGGGCGAAGTCAGGTTTTGGGGGGCTTTATCAGCTCTGAGCTCTAAGTCCTTAATATGGGGTGCAGGGGTGCTAAAATTCCAGCTAAACTTCCTCTCTGTCCCCCAAGAGCAAAGGGGAGACATTTGGGGTCCTCCTGGGAGCTGAAGAAGGAAGGAGATTCCTCTTGTCTGACCGTGAGGCAGTTGCAGGAGATAACTAGGGAGGCTCGAGGCCTCAGCATCATTAGTGCCCCCATGGGGGTGTCCCATCTGTCCCCCCTCCCCGACCCCCGAGACTCAACTGCTGAAGCAGATGGGTCCCAGCTGGGAGCAGAACTTCTGGCAGGGCTGTCTGAAGCCAGCGGCCGCAGGTTCACCTGGGGGACACAGGGGTCAGTGGACGCCAGGGCTATACCTGTATGTGGGAAACACGTGGTGCCATGGATCAAAACTCGGTCTTCGCACGTGCCAGGCATCTGCCCCCCCCTCCTAAGCTGCCTCCCCAGTCCCTGCCCTGGCCCTTACGGCCTTGCCATCCCAGCCTGGAAACTGGAGGCATCTGGGTCTGCCAGAGTGTTTGTGGTTTCCAGGAAAGGTTCGATCCAGCACACACTCTTCAATCAAGCAATGATGAACGGATGGAGCTGGTGGGCAAATGCCCCTGGTTCTCGGCTCCCTCTCAGCCCGTGTGGGGAAATTCCCAAGTGCTGCTGCCTCACATTCTGCCAGATGTACCCAGTGAAGCTGAGCGCACCCAAGGACGACAATGTAGGCAAGCTCCCTTGGGGCCACTTCTCCCAGCTTGTCACCACCCACCATCCTCCTCTCTTGCCCTCAGGGTGGCTAGATAATTCTGGAAACTCCTGCCTCACACACAGTCGACATGGGTTCCATCCCTGGTATCTCAGAGGGTTCCCAGAGCCCTGCCAGGGGTGATCCCTGAGCATTGCTACGTGTGACCCAAAGACAAACGATTATTATTATTAATTTTGTTTTCAGACTATACCTGGCAGTGCTCAGGGCTGACTCCTGGTGGGTCGGTGGGAGCCTACAGGCTACTGGGGATCAAACCTGGACCAGCTGCTTGCAAGACAAGTGCCTCTCCACTGAACTATCTCTCCGGCCCTCCGGCCTCACATAGCTTCATTCTTTTAAAGTTAGAACAGGGTCTTTTTGATGCTCTGAGGAAGGAGAAAGACAGAGACAGAGACAGAGAAACAGAGACACAGAGACACAGAGAGAGAACCTGTTGGTCCCAAGTAGAGAAGACCCCAGATTCAAATGCAGCTATTCGGGTAGAAGGGCTTGTCTCAGCAGCCGGGGGGCCATTTTGATGGCACAGAGGGGAGGCGGCTGGCCATATATGCCTTTGACCTGGGTTCGATCCCCAGCATCCCACAGGGTCCCCACAGGGTCCCCCAAGCACTGCCAGGAGTGAGCCTTGATGCAGTGCCAAGGTGCTTGTAACTGTGATTCAATTAAAACACACAGACACACACACACACACACACCCACAAACACTTCTTGAATGTGTGAGTCTCTCTCCTTCCTGCCCCTTAAATATACCTCCAAGAATTGGAATATTCCCTTTGACTCAAGCCTACTTCCAGTTGATTCCCAGTCACTCAGTTTTGAAACACTACTCATCCACCTACAACCTCTGTCAGTTTCCCTGCACAAAATTTCTTTGAGCTCAAATCACTGTCTTCCGTCCATAGCTTCTGATCTCTGTGGCACTGCCTAACCCACCCCCTGCTCCATTTTGGTGGTGTGATGCTCAGGCAAGTCATTTTCAGTACCCATCCCCCTCACCCTATGACATTCACTTGTCGTCACTTCTCACTCTGGTTTTGGCCTTCCTCACACAGTCTGACTCTGCTCGCAATAGAGAAATTTGACATCCAGGTTGAAGCCATAGTACAGCAGCTAGATATTTGCTTTGCACGAGGCCAGCTTGGGTACAATCTCTAGCATCCCATATGGTTCCCTGGGCACTGCAAGGAGTAATTCAGGAGTAATACAGTAATACAGCACCAGGAGAAGCCCCTGAGTATCACATGTGGCAAAGAAAGAAAAAAATTGTCATTAGAAATAGGAATAAACTCACTTTTCCCCTTTGCATTTATGTAATTTTTCAGCTACATAGAAGCAAAGCTTGTGCAACATTTCCAAAGTAGGGACAGTCATGAGTGAAACGAGCACAGGATTATTTAAAGAAGAATTTGTTTCTGTCAATTATTAAATGAAGTACAAAATATGCATGTAAGTAATTAAGAATGTATTCAAAATACCATAGGAAAAGGCCTGCAGCAATAACACAGTGGGAGGATACTTGCGTTGCATGCAGCTGTCCTGAGTCCGATCCCTGGACCACATATCCCCTGAGACCCAGCAAAAGTAATCCCTGAGTATGAAGATAAGTATGCACATATCAACTATCACAAGCTCACTTTATTCCATTGTATCTTCAATAGTATGATAAAGCAAGAAAGAAGATAAACGTTGAAAATTATAAACAGAAGTCTTGATTCACTGTTAGTGAATGACCTACATTGGTTAATAATTGAAACTTCCAAGGAAAACTATGATAACACAAGTGATCAAAGAGTTGCAGAGCTAGAGCATTTTCAACAGTCTTCCTCAGATAAAATAATTCTAATTGGTTCAAGAAATTCTTGGTAAAAAACATTTAAAATGGAAGAAAGAGTTTTTTTGCTTTTTGGGGTTACACCCGGCAATGCACAGGGTTACTCCTTCCTCTGCACTCAGGAATTACTCCTGGTGGTGCTCAGGGCACCATATGGGACGCTGGGAATGGAACCCGAGTCAGCTGCATGCGAGGCAGATGCCCGACCTGCCGTGCTATCGCTTCAGCCCCATCTATGGAGAACAGTAAAAGACATTTGAAGACATAAAATATTTATGAATCAGAACATATGGTATTGTGATAGAAAATTCTTACCAACATTCAAAACTCTAAAATTTATAAAACAAATCCCCAAACAACCCTAAAATATTTTAATTAAGCTGAACTAGAGAAGATAGTTCTAATTTTCTTTTGTTTATTTTTTGGACCACACTCAGCAGTGCTCAGGACATACTCCTGGCTCTGCACTCAGGGGTCACTTCTGGTGGGCTCAGGGACCCTACGTGTTGTCGGGGATCGAACCTACATCAGCTGTATGCACACAAGATCCCTCCCCACTGCACTGCACCTGCCGCCCCCAGCAGTTACATTGGTCATTAGGTCATAGGCTCTATCAAAAATACAGAAAAAAAAAGCCTTTTGGTAGTTCCTGAGTGGGGCGCTGCCCCCCCGTAATTTGTCAGTGCTGTGTGTAATCATTGCCTCTCTACTATGAGCAGTTGGGCTTGCTATGGGTCTACGTATTTGGAGAGATACACAGTGGGTTAGAACACTTGCCCTGCACATGTGCGACCCAGCTTTGGTCGCTTTATTAACTGAGGAATGTGCCACATTACATAAATCAGTTCAATATTCTCAGGGATGAATACTTAAAATTATTATATAAATGAAATAAAGGGGACCATAGAGCGATCGTAATAGAGGGTAATGTGCTTGTCTGGCATGCAGCCAACCTGGTTGGAAGGCACAGTCAGATGTGAACCTTCTATAGGTGAGTCATTCCATGATGTTTTTGATTGCATCTCGCTGTTCATTGATCTAGTATGTACAGTCAGCTGTGGAGGTGGAGACATGTCCATTTAAGAGGTTATTTTCTTTCATTTTACATCTCTCAGTCTCAGCTTTCCACTTTCCTTTTCCATCCTGGTCATACCTGGTGACGCTCAGGGCGCACTCCTGGCTCTGTGCTCAGAAATCCCTCCTAGCAAGCTGCAGATCCTGTGCAAGGCAAGTGCCTTACACAAGTGCTCCAGCCTGTCTCTCCAGCCCCACATCAGTTAACGTTTCCTGTCCTGAGCACTTTGTGTCAGAGATGGTGTGAGAGTATTCAAGTCTCTGAAGGCAGTGGTTTGTGGAGAAGATTTCCTCCTTTTTAAGAAGGTGCAGTTCAGAAAGGGGCCTCTGTGGTTTCTTATCAGCAAGAAAGGACAGATCACTGAATAGCAGGAAGAGAGAAAAACAGTGATGTTTCCTAACACTTGTACCTCACGTTTGTATACTATATAAATGGTAAGGCAGCAGTTGAACCCGTAAAAAAAGCCAAAACAGCTCACTTGGACCAAGATGGTGTGGGTGGCCTTGATCTCTGGAGAGGATGGTGGGCAGAGACTGTGCCTAAGGATGTGCTGGACATTCTTGCGATGGTTGAACAGGAACTTTACCATGTGCACGCTGGTCCAGATCATGAGGGACACACACAGGAAGTCTCTTAAAATCATTCCTCCAAGAATTCCAGACACCACCAGAGTCCCTGTGTCATGTGCCATACAGTATTTTTGGTTATAAACTAGTCCCACTCCAGTAGTGTTGAATGGGGCTTTCATGGAAATGATGACCTGGCTACAGATGAGCATGTTGAGTATCCAGAAGAAGAGGAAGGCAGAAGAAATGCACGTGTGGATGTTTGATTTGAGCCACGCCCACTGAGCATGGTTGTTGGTGATCACGATGGCTTGGAACACACTGAGGAAAGATGTGGTACAGAGGGAAAGACCCCGGCCCACTCTGGACAAGAACAAAACGGCCTTACAACCAGTGTCGTTCAGAAAATTTCTGATTCCAAAGAAAAATATTAATTCCGGAATCCCAGCAAATAAAACTGTCATCAGGTTGGCTAAAGTTAAGTGGGTAAATATCCAATCTATTGGCTTTGCTCTTTGCAGAAAGATGTTCACGTATATCGAGAGCAATAGCGAATTTCCAGTAAAACCAAATATGAATTGGAAGAAAAATGATACTCCCAAAATCATATCTTGTAGAACTATTGTGTCCATCGCTTCGTGGTACATTGAATAAAGACCTGCATAAAGTACAAATAACAGATTTGTTGTCACGTGAACCCGAGAGAAATGTCACGACATGCTGGTGTGAATGTGACTTACACTTGACGTCAATGGACTCTGCAAATGCACTGTCATTTTTTCAGAAAATGAAGAATTAGTTCATAGAGATTTTTTTGAGGGTTCTCGATATCACCAAGCAGGATTTATTGATACCATATTTTTGGTTTTTGATTTTGGGGTCACGCCCAGCGATGCTCAGGGCTTACTCCTGGCTCTGCCCTCAGGAATTATTCTAGGTGGTGCTTGAGGGACCTTATGGAATGTCGGGGATCAGCCATGTGTAAAACAAGTGCCTTCCCTCCTCTACTGTCTCTACACACCTATTTTTTCCATTTTTATTGGATGATTTCAGTTGACTGTTTTCAGAGAAGTTCGCTTTGTATCCTGTTGAACATTTTGAAACGATAACATATTATATGTTTTAGTCATACGAGACTTAAATTGATTATTTTTAACTTGACAACGTTAATGCATTTCCGTAATTGGGAATATGGTCCAGAAACTTAAAATCATTTAAGTCATCTGTTTTGCCTTTGAGTTTATTAGTCATGGTGCTGGGTCAGGAGTGACTTCTGGCTCTGCACTCAGGAATTACTCCAGGAGGTTCTCTGGGGACACTATACGGTGCTGGAGATTGAATCCTGGTGTGCCATGAGCACGGAAAATGCCCTCCCATATATACTATCGCTCCAGCCCCCGTACAATCTTTTCAATCCTATTATTGGATCAACATTTTACATCTCATCATTCTGGTCTCTCTCCTGATCCTGGCTTAGAGTATCCCAGGATTATCCGATTCTTTAGATTTCTCTTCTGAAAATGTCATCTGCAAATCTGGTCACAGATAATGTGCCAAATAACTCAGGACTATCCAAGTTTTAGGGTCACTCAAACAGGGATCACACAGACACGCCATTTTCCACCCATATTGCTCCTGCCTGATGGTTCCCCTCAAGTGAGCCACCATTGAATTTGACAGACATGTTCATCACTGTGAGTAGACACGGCACGATAAGGGGTGCATGAAGACAGAGACCCAGATATTGCAAATGGCCAATCAGCAGCATCCTTACAAGATAGATTCAGTGACAATTTGCTAATCTATTATGTCCTAGACATGTCTGTCTGCTTCCCTCTGGTCTAAACTTGTTTTTCTTAATATCCCGATCATAGGGTTCCTTTAGGGGGTGAATTTCACACATCTCACCATTCTGACCTGGGTCTCTTGGAGTTTCCATGAATTCATACGTAGATTGTTTCAGTGAAGGTCTTAATATTTGTCCTGGATATTACCTTCATCGTTTTCTCTACCATTAGTCACAGCTTCCCAAGAACGCTTTCCTGGGGTAGATCATTTGCCTTGCATGTGGGCAACGTGGGTTCATTCCCCGCATCCCATATGGTGCCCCATGCACTGCTGGGAATGATTTCTGAGTGCAGAACAAGAGTAAGCACTGAGCTTTGCCTGGTGTGGTGCCTCAAAAAAAATAACCCAAAGGAGGAAATCTCAGGCCAATTCTGCGGGTCCAATTTTCCCTTTGTGTGACAACCGGAATTCAGGCTAGAGAAGGATCATGAGCCTGAAGTGGCCTACATTTCATAAAGCTGTTAGAACAAAGGATACTATGAAATTTGCTTATAAATGGATCGACATGGAGAGTATCATGCAGAATGAAAAAAGTCAAAGGGAAAGGGACACACGTAGGACAACTGCACTCATTTGTGGGATTAAAAAAAAAAACACAGTGTAAGTTTAACAACCACGGACAGTAGAAACAAGGGCCAGGACGTTTGGTCCATGGTTAGAAGCCTGTTTCCGGGCTGGAGGAGAAGGCAATTGGGGTAGAGAAGGAAGAATTATGACAATGATGGTTGGAACAGATTGCTCTGGGTGGGAGATGTGTGCTGAAAGTGGGTAAAGGGCCGAACAGGATGAACTCTCAGTATGTGAATTGAAAATTGTAATGCTCAAAAGGAGAGAGACAGAGAGAGTGAGAGAAAGACATAGAAAGAGACAGAGGCAGAGACAGAGACAGAGACAGAGGAGTAAGACTAGGGATATCAGTGGTGGGAAATGCACACTGTTTCAGGAATGTGTGTATTGAATGACTGTAATTCCATCTAGAAAGCTTGTGACTTTATCTCACAGTGATTCAATTAAAAACCCACATGCAACACACACACAAACCTGTTGTATGTGTGATTCTCTCTCCTTTCTGCCCCTTAAATATACCCCTGAGGATTGAAATGTTCCTTTTGATCCCAAGCCTACTTCCAGTTGATACTCAGTCACTCATTTTGAAACACAACTCATCCACCCCCAACCTCTGTCGCTTTCCCTACAGACAAGTTAACTGAACCTGAATCACTGTCATCCCTCCATAGATCCTGACTCTCTGTGGCACTGCCTAACCCAACTCCCGCTCCATTTTGGTGGTGTGATGCTCAGGAAAGCCATCTTCAGTACCCACCCCCGTCACCCTCTGACATTCATTTATTGTCACTTCTAACTCTGGTTCTGACTTGCTTCACCACATTCATATTCTGCTCACAATGTTGATATTTCTTATCGGGATTAAAGCCATAGTTCAGTGACTAGGCATTTGCTTTGCACGAGGCCAGCTTGGGTATAATCTCCGGGATCCCACATGGTTCCCTGGGCACTGCAAGGAGTAAATCCTGAGTGCAGCACCAGGAGAAACCCCTGAGCATCAACACAAGTGGCAAAGAAAGAAAAAAATTGTCATTAGGAATGGGAATAAACTCATCTTTTTCCTTTGGGTTGATGTAATTTTTCAGCGGGCTAGAAGCAAAGCTTGTACAAGATTTCCAAAGTAGGGACAGTCATGAGTGAAATGAGCACAGAATTATTTAAAGAAGAATTTTTTTCAGTCAATTATTAGATGAAGTAAAAAATATGCATGTAAGTAATTAACAGTGTTTTCCAAAAAGCATACGAAAGGCTTGGAGCAATAGCACAGCGTGAGGATACTTGCCTTGCTGTCCTGGATTCTATCCCAGGTACCACATGTCCCCTGAGCCCCAGCAGGACGGATCTCTGAGAACAGAGCCAGGAGTAAGTCTTGAGCACAGTCCTGTGGCCTAAAAGCAAAAAGGAACATAAGGCAAAAAGTGTAAGCCTTTAGGGAATTCACAAACAAGCTAAAATTTTTTCACTTTAGGAATCAAATGAACATATTGACTTAAGATTGGGCAAAACAAGTCAGATTACCAAATGACAAATGAGCACAGGTTGATTGAAACATCTCATACATAGGACTGGAGTGAGAGTGGAGCGGGGAGGCAGTTTACCTTGCACGTGCTCGACCCATTTGATCCCGGCATTTCATATAGTCCCCACAGCACTCCCAGGAGTAATTTCTGAGTGCAGAGCAAGAGTCTCCCCTGAATAGTGCTAGGTGTGATCCAGAATGTAAATCCAGCCAACCAATCATACAACCCAGACAAGGCTAGAGTGATAACACAGAGGGATGGCGCTTGCCTGGCAACTGCTGATAGGGTTTGGCTCTTGGCATCCCTTATGGTGCCGGACCCCACCCTGAGTAATTCCTGAGCTCAAAGCTGGAGTAAACCCTGAGCATCACCGAGTTTGGCCGCAAGAGGAACAAAAAAAAATCTTGTAGTACAAAAATATTGTAAGATTAAGGGAGAAACAATTGGTCCAAGATATTATAACAAAATCTACAAGATGCCAAACTCACTACTGTAGGTCATAAGTATGAACATATCAAGAATGAATAAGCCCACTTTATTCTATTATATCTTCAATAGTATGATAAAGCAATAAAGAAGATAAATGTTGAAAGTTATAAATTGTTAGATGTCTTGATTCAATGTTAATGAATGATCGACATTGGTTAAGAATTGAAACCTCCAAGGAAAACTATCATTCTGAGGACACAATTCATAAAACAGTTGCAAAGTTAAAGGATTTTCAGCAGTCTTACTACTCATATAAAATATTCTAATGGGTCCAAGAAATTCTCGGCCAAAGCATTTTAAATAATAGAAAGATAGTTTTGGATGACAGAAAAAGACATTTGAAGACATAAAATATTTATGAATCAGAACATCTGGTATTGTGATAGAAAATTCTTACCAAAATTAAAAACTCTAAAATTTATAAAACAATTCCCCAAACAACCCTAAAATCATAAATTAAGCAGAACTAGATAAGATAGTTCTAATGTTCTTTTGTTTATTTTTGGGACCAAACTTAGCAGTACTCAGGGATTACTCCTGTCTCTGCAATCAGGGATCACTCCTGGTTGCCTCAGGGACCCTAGGAGCTGTCAGGGATCAGACTTGAATCAGCTACATTCATGGCAAGACCCCCTCCTGCACTGTCGCCCCCAATAGTTCCAATACTGTGGGTATTAGATCATAATCTCTAAGAAAAATAAACGAAAAGCGGAGTTAGGGAAAAAAATTAAAAATCAATGAGGGGGCTGGAGCTATAGCACAGTGGGTAGGGCGTTTCTCTTGCACGAGGCTGACCCGGGTTTGATTCCCAGCATCCCATATGGTCTTCGAGCACCGCCAGGAGTTATTCCTGATTGCATGAGCCAGAGTAACATCTGTGCATCATCGTTGTGACCCAAAAAGCAAAAAAAATCATAGAGAAATGCATAGATGGGGGGAAGAGAAACCAAAGAAAATTGAACTCAGAAAAAAAAAGTTTAATCAGAGTGGAAAGGTGAACACAGTTGCTGTGTCAGTGAATGAGTGAGGATATAACATTCTAAGTAACTTGTTGTATCTGTTGCTTATAGAACGAGTTATGACACCAAAAGTTTAAAAATACCTTTAAATGAAAATTCAGTTTAAGAGCCAAAAAAGGGGCCAGAGTGATAGTCTAGTGCAGAGGATGCTTTTCTTGCTCATGGTGGGTTTGGGATTAATCCCTGGCA